AGCTTGAGTGTTAGGGCCCCATTTTAGTGCAGGAGGTTTTTTCTGCCAAATCCTAGTTATCCCACACCTTGTTAAATTTTGTGGGGCCCCCTTTATGTTGAAATATGGTTGTTCCAATTTCCAGTGCTGCAATAAGGAGTTTCTAGCTTGGAATAATGCTCTGGCAATGGCTGCCTTGGAATGATCTGTCCATCGTGGATTGTCTAGAATGCCTAGTAAGCAAATTTTAGGGTCTACAAGGTAAGTATATGTGAAAGACAGTATTTAACCCCTTCACGCCTAAGGGTAAAACAAATCTAAATGCCTAGGCAGAATTTTGCAACATTGACATGTGTTAGTAAAACCGTACATACCATCACAACTACTTTGTTCATCCAAGTGAATTATACTGTGTTTTTTTTTTCAGGACAAATTGGGCTTTCATTTGGTGGTAAATGGTAATGGATATCTCCTGATTGTTTTTTATTATCAAAAGAAAAACTGGCCCAAAATAGTAAAAAAAAAAATATTTTTTTTTAAATTTAGCTGTGTGTTTCTTGTTACTACCATAACCTACGACCAAGAAACAGCCTAAAATAAATTCTCCAGCTTATGATGATCGCAGCGATACCATATATGTGTATGTTATTTGTTGTTTGTACCCGTAGTACGGCCCAGAAACAATAGTGCGCATTTTGTTTTTGTATTTTTTTTTTTTACCTAAAAACACACTGACACTGATATTGACACTAACTGACACTGATACCAATTTTTTTTTTAATCCTGACCTTTGACCCTGACCTTTTGACCTTGACCCAAACAAAAACCCTGGCACTGAACTAGATCAAACCTTGATCTAGGTATTATTTTCTTTATTTTTTTATTTTATGTTTTAATATTTATTTATTTATCTTTTTTTTTTTTTTTTTTTTACAAACTTTTTTTTCTGTCTATGCCAGGAGTTAGAGAGATACAATGTATCTCTCTTCTCCATTCATAGAGAGAGAAAAAAACAAGGGGGCTGGGCTGTACAGTGACTGATCACTGTGATAGCCAATCAGAGGCTATCACAGTGGTCATGTGACCCGGAATCGGGAGTCCCGGGTCCCGATCGTTAGAACGGGACCCGGGGCTCTCAGTGACACACTGCGGTCTTTGTGCTGGGAGCGCACAGTGCGGCACGTTCCCAGCACAAAGACAGGTACGCAAATATGTGGCCCCACGAAAAAAAGCCCAGTTCCGTGAGGCCGCATATTTGTGTGACGTTGGCGTCAAGGGGTTAAAGTATTCAGGACAGTAGTCCAATACCTATGAAGTTTTGCACAGCACCAGAGCATGTATATGAGACTGCCCCAGTCTCTACTTCATCTACAACAAATAAGAGAGTCCAGAAGGAACATAGTGTAAAATTTAAGAGGGGTGTAATGGGCTTGCAATATAATATATAGCTGTTATGCCTTCAGTTGATCTTATTAGGGCAGCCAGGGGCTCAATAGAAAAAGTGAAAAGGAGAGGGGATAGTAGGCATCCCTGTCTAGTTTCCCTTTCTAGTTGAAAGGCCTCAGAGATTCTACTGCCCTCTCTGATAATCACCTCGGAGAAGGGTATAGTAGCTTAACCCAGATTATAAACTTGTTCCAAAACCCACATTTTTCTAGGGTTTTCCACAGGTATGGCCATTTGACACAATCGAATGCCATAGTGACATCAAGCTATAGTGACTCGGTCACCAGTGCTGTCTGTTGGTGTTTGATATTACTAAATAAGCATCGTAGGTTAACTGCAGTTGCTTTTTGTGGCATGAAGCCTGCTTGAGTAGAGTGAATTATGCTGGAGATGACTTTGTGCAGCCTATTGGTTAGGACCTTGGCTAATATTTTTACTGTCTGTAATAACAATATAGGTCTGAAAGGACTGGGATCTGTAGGTGGCCTGGTTTTAAAAGGAATATAATGTGGGCTATAGACATGTGGGGGGTCTCCCAGAAACAAACGATACGTTAAACACTTTATGCAAATATGAAAGAATACCATACGTGTATCTTTTTTATACTTCTATGGGTAGGCCATACTGTCAGGGAAGGAAAGGAGGAAGCCCTGACACATTCAGCAATGCCCAATATGGCCCTGCTAATTTGCACACAAAATGCACAAAGGCGTACAGCACGCAGTTGCATATCCATGTGCACGATGGTGCATCAGCACATGCAGGGCACGATAGTTGCTTGAGCCCAGCAGCCTTTATAAGGACTACAGCCCCTCACAATAATTGCTGGATTATCATCAGCCTCCTGTTCCTGTGCGAGTTACCCTGCTGATTATCCGTCACTGACCTAGTTTGACCCTGACCTGCTTTGGCTTTTCACCTGGCTCTTACCTCGGCTTGTTCCTCGGATCTGCTCCTCCCTATTCCTGATTGATGACTTGTGCATGACCCTGGTGTGCTCCTGACTTCGCTCCTGTCTTTACTCCTGATTGATGCTCTGTGTTTGACCCTGGCTCTGGCTTCTGACTTCAATTCCTGCTCTGCCCATCCGTCTGGATCCACCAGTCCTCTGGAGAGCCCCCCTGTATCCTGTCCACCCACGTGGTCTCATCGGGTGTCACCATGCAACTACATCATTAGCAACCCGTGCTTCTTTGGGAACTGCACCTTCTGTTACCACCTGCAGGGGAGCATTGCACTTAGCCGTAAGGGGAGTCGTCTCATCACCTCAGCCTCTGGTCAGGTACGTGACACGGCAGATTTAGAGGACAGATTGAGGAGGAACAACATAAAAAATCCATCGAATACCGGAAACAGTCAAAAATTATGACCTACACGCTCACTTCCAAAATAGCTTGAAAGAAGTCCTTTCTGATATACCACTGGAAGAAAGTAATTGACAGCATTCATAGACTCCCCAAACCACTACATCTCCCAAAAGCATCTACCAAGGGACACTATTGTTCGTATACATTTCTTCCACATAAAATACAAATGTCTTATGAATACAAGAAACTCTCTTAAGACAACACCAAAGCACTCATGGTCTGTCCTTCTTCGTGGATCTATCTGCTTACACAAAGAAAAGAAGAAAGAAAATGGCTACCATACCTAAGCCTTTACATAACCACCAGATTTCTCAGATGGTCATACCCTATTATTAATTCTGAAGTGACCAAAGAAAGCAAGACCTACACCATCAAAATAACTGAAGAGGGTATCCAACTCTTAAAAGATTGGTGCATCCTAGAACGTATGAAACTACATACACAGCATCCCCTCCTCATCCACAGAGCTCTTCTTCATGGCATGATGCAGCGGAAGGCCAAAAGCCCAGAATTTAATTCTACCCACTACATTCTTACAGCTCCGGTAAGTTTTTACGGAAATGATCTTAATCTGTATTTATGCCTCCTTTGATATGCGGACACTTTCCCGCTCAGATTCCAACAGAATCGTTCATTTTTTTTTAAAATTTGTTTTGTTGGGTTTTTTTTACATATAGTTATTGTACCAGGTTTGAATGTTCTTTTTTTACGAACATGCAAATCAGTGCATAATTTGTTAGACATGCATTTCTTTTGAATTTTGTGTTGCTATTCTGTCTCTCACTGTTACAATACACCTACCATTCAATTTTTAGACTGATCATTTCTTTGTGAGTGGGCAAACATTCAAAATCAGCAGGGGATCAAATACTTATTTCCTTCACTGTATATGAATGTTAATGACTTTAGATTGTATGCTCCTTGAAGGTAGGGCATGATGTGAATGTACAATATGTATGTAAATTGATGGCGCTATAAGTACCTGAACTAATAATAATGCTATGTTTATATATGTGTTTTTTGCAATCTGGTACATTTTACCAAGTTTCACATAATGTAGACAAAAGAGCTGACATTACAAATAAAAAGTGTGTATGGGGGGGTGTGCTCTTCTACCCCCTTTTCCAGCCTGCAGGACTGTATGCTCACACTTTTTGAGTTAAATCCATGACAGTCATACTGTATCTGTTATATGACAAATAATTTTTCCTTAACTCGTACTACTAAACTAGGTGGGATTTGTGCTGCCATGGAGCTAGTCAGGAAAGGAAAATTATTATATATTATATATATATTATAAGTATTTGAATAAAATTTTCCGTTTTCCTGACTGCTCCATGTCAGCACAGCAGTGATTTAACTATCCACACATGGGAGAATAATGCAAAACCAATTTAATTTCGACTGGAAGCAGAGGCCAAGATACCCCTGCCAAAATTAGCAGTAGTCAAAGCTGCAGGTTCTATACAATGAGTTATGAAGAGAAGCCCATGTAGCCGCTTTGCAGCTTGTTTCTAGGGAAACTCGGCCCACTGCTGCCCATGAGGTTGAAACCCCTCTAGTGGAATGCGCTGTGCCTCAGGCACAGGCAACCCTCTCATTCTGTAAGGTAGAGATGGTCTTGACCAGTCATGTAGCGATTACTCTACTAGAAGCTCTCAAGCCTTTCCGTGCACAGTTAGGGATGGTGAAAAGATGATCTGACTTCCTGAGCTCGGAAGTAGCGTCCACAGTCTCTCAATGAGTGCCCAACATCCAATGGACTTGGGTCCTGGGAATTTTCCAAAAGGAGCATCAGGAGTGGAAAATCTTTCATTGTGAAACCCGGAGGCAACTTTGGGTACGAATCCTAGCATTGGTCTAAGCACGACCTTATCCAGAACGAAAGAAATAAAGGGTTCTTTAAACCCTAAGGCTGCTAGTTCCGAGCCTCTTCTGGCTGATGTTATCGCCACAAGAAATGCTGTTTTCAGAATAAGATACCATAGTGAAACAGGATGACTGAAGGTGTCTTATGAGAGGAAGTCCAACACCAAATGGCAAGTCCCATTTTGGGAAAATCAGAGGCTTAGGTGGTGTTTGGCGGATAGCTGTATAACTGCCTCCTGCCCGCCATATAGTACAATGACGGGCACATAGCGGTTCTCTTGTTCTGGGCGGACATCATATGACGTCCTCCCATTCTAACCGCGCATGTGCGGCTCCGAGAGTGCACAGACCGGCGATCAGCGGTGCTCTGTGTCCCTCGGACACAGCGGATCACCGATCAATGGAAAGAGCCAAAGATGTCGGCTCAGTCATGTGATCAGCTTTGTCCAATCACAGTTGATCATATGTAAAACAGGGAAATGCCGGTTATCGGCATTTCTCTCCTCATGAGCTGTCACGCTGACAGCTCGTGAGGAGAGGAGAGCTGGAAATCGGCATTCCTAGGAGGGGACATGTACACAGATCATCAGAGCACTGATGATCAGTGTGCCCTGATGATCTGTGTAGCCCCAGCAGTGCCACCCTTCAGTGTCCATCAGTGCCAGCTGTCAGTGCTCAACCATGCCACCTGCCAGTGCCCATCAGTGCCACATAAATGCCCAATATCAGTGCCTACCAGTGCACATCAATGCCACATATCAATGCCCATCTGAGCTGCCTTTCAGTGTCACCCATCAGTGCCAGTCAGTGCCACCTATCAATGCCAGTCAGTGCCACCTATCAGTGCTGCCAATCAGTGCCACCTATCAGTGCCAGTCAGTGCCGCCTATCAGCGTGCATCAGTGCTGCCTGTCAGTACCCATCAGTGCTGTCTATCAGTGTCAGTCAGTGCCGCCTAGCAGTGCCGCCTATCAGTGCCATATATGAGTGCTGCCTTTCAGTGTCCATCAGTGATACCTGTCATTGCCCATCAGTGCCACCTACCAGTGCCTCCTCATCAGTGCCCATCAGTGCCACCTATCAGTGTCCATCAGTGCAGCCTATCAGTGCCCATCACTGCAGCCTCATTAGCGCACATCAGTGAAGGAGAAAAATCACTTATTTACAAAATTGTATAACAAAAACTAAGAAAAAAAGTTTTTTTTTTCAACATTTTCAGTGGTTTTTGGTTTGTTTAAGAAAAAAATAAAAAACCCAGAGGTGATTAAATACCACCAAAATAAAGCTTTATCTGTCACAAAAAAAAATAAAAATTTCATATGGGTACAGTGTTCCATGACTGCGCAATTGTCATTCAAAGTGTGACAGCGTTGAAAGCTGGAAATTGGCCTGGGCAGGAAGGGGGTTTAAGTGCCCTGTAGGCTAGTGGTTAAAGAACTGAAGCACTAAAGTCAGATGCCCATAGGGTACCTGTAAAAGCCGAGAGGGTAGAAACGTGAGCCTTCAGGAGTACTTACAGACAGACCCATTTCCAGCCCCACCTGGAGGAATTCCAATAAGTAGCAGACTCTGTGGGTATCTGGCCAAAGCCATGCCTGTCTGCAAATTCCACGAACTTGCTCCATGTCCTGATATAGGCCGTGTTGCTGCTATCCTTTCTGGCTTTCATCAAAGTATCTGTGACCTTAGTCGAGCATACTAGATTGATCAGCCTTTGCCTTTCAAGACCCAGACTGTCAGCCTGAGTTCCTCCGAAGCAGGGTGCTGAATAGGTCCCTGCATGAGCAGATCCAGTATCACTGGCAGAGGGTATGGTTCTCTGATGTTCAATGAGCAGAGTAGCAGGTACCAGGGTCTCTTTGGCCAATCTAGTATTACTGACAGAACAGTCACCCTCTCCTGGTGTATTCTGCGCAGCAAGCTGAGAATCACTGGAATTGGAGGGAAAGTATAAGTAGGCTTGAAATTCCATGCCATTGTCAATGCGTCCACCCTGAAGCTTGTGGGTGACTGATCCTGGAGAAAAAAAATGAGGTAGTTTGTTATTCTTCAGGGAGGCAAACAGGTCCATCTCTGGCAGAAAGGTCCATGCCACTAGACTCCGAAAGACTTGAGGTGAAAGGACCCACTCGTTGTTCAAACTCATTGTGGATAGATAATCCACCTGGGTATTCAAGCGACCAGGCACATAAATTGCTGTTAGCAGTTGTAAGTTGGCTTGGACCCATTCCATAATTAGAGAGCCCTCCCTCAGGAGGGGTATGCTGCTGGTGCCCCCTATCTGTGTATGTAGGCTACTGCCGTTGTATAGTCCAACTTCATCAGAATGGGTGCACCCTGAATGAGCCTTTTTGAAAGCCAGGAGTGCTTGGAATGCTGCCCTCGATTCTAGAATGTTGAAAACCATATTGACAGCCTGGAATGACCACTGGCCCTGGGCCCAGTGAACTCTACACAGGGCTCCCCAGCCCACTTCGCTGGCATCCGATTGGGCCACCTGCCACTGTATCGCAAGTAAAGAATGGCATTGTAGGAGATTCTGCTATCTTGGTCACCATTCCAGGCTCATTCTCATCTGGGAATTTATTTGTTTCTTCTGCCCAAGATCCCCCAATCTCCATTGTTCTAGAGCCCTACCTGAAGGGGATGTGAATTCCATTGTGCCCATTTGACCACCGAAACAGCCAAGGTCATAAAGTCTAACAGCTGCATACATTATATTGCAGGAAGGTAGAGCCTCTTCTGGGTTATTGACTTCATGGTTAGAATGCCCAACATCTTGTCCTCCGGTAACGCCACTGATGCTGCCCGAGTGTTCACTTCTGCGCCTAGGTATACCAGGTTCTGGGTTGACATAAGGTGACTTCTCCCGGTTGATTAACCATCGTAACTTCTGTAATGTCTCCATGGTTAACATCAGGCGTGACAGAAGAGTCTCTCTGTCTTGATTCAGGAGCAGAATGTCGTCCAAGTAGTGAAATATTCGCACTCCCTGTGACCTCAGCTACTCCACTAGGGCCAGAAGAATCTTCATGAATACTCTGGGTGATGTGGTTAGCCCAAAGAGTAGGCATACAAACTGAAAATGGAGCTGTCCTACCGCAAACCGTAGAAACTTCTGGCAGACTGGGGCTACCAGTACATGGAAATACTCATCCTTGAGGTCCACTGATAGAAGCCAATCCCCTGGCTGAACGATTTTCAGAATTGTCTGGAGAAATTACATTTTGAATCTGTCTTTCTTGATATACATGTTGAGCCTCCTGTGGTCTATCATCGGTCACCATGCTCCCAACTTTTTCTGCACTAGAAATAGAGGCGAGTAGATTCCAGAAAAACGTTCTTGCTGGGGTACTGCAACAATCACTTCCTGGTTGAGGAGGGTTTTTAATAAATTCCATTATACATCCTGCCTTTCTCTTGCCAAAGGTAATTTTGTCGGGACAAAGATTCTGCGGGGATGCCTCAGGAACTGCCTAGCATGGCCAAACCGGATGGAAATTACCCAAGGCTCCTTTACCGCATGTGCCGACGGAACTTGAATAATCTGGCTCCCACACAAAAAGTGTGCGCCAGGCAGATAGTCAAAAGGACATCTGGAACACCTGTTCCAGAGACGAAATTGGTCTCTTCGACTTGCGATTTGCAGCCGTGTTCTAACATTGATGAAGAAATTCTTTCCCTGGCCTGTAAGACTTGGCATCTCTACCTCTGGTCCTTGGCAAATTTGTGTATGCTGCACCTCTTCTGTGAAGCAGCCTCTGTTCCTGAGGAATAAATCCCGACTTCCTCCCTGTGGCTTTTGCGATGGCAGTGTCTAATTTATTTCCAAACAGGGACTGCACTTCAAATGGTATCTTACACCATCCTTGTTTGGAGGCTGGGTCCGCCACCCAGGACCTCAGCTGTATGGCTCTTCTGGCCGTTACTGCATTAAGCATGATCCTGGCCAACATCTTAATTAGGTCAATGGATGCCTCCGCCATAAAAGAAGCCATTAGCTTCAAATTGGCTAAGGAGGCCAAGACCTTGGCTTTGCTCAGGTCACTTCCCACTGCCACTTCTGACCCCAGGACTCCATGGCCTTCGAAATAGCCGCCAGAGCCATAGAAGGTCTGCACGTCTCACCAGAAAGTGTGAAGATCTTTTTACGATCCACATCCATTCTTCTATTAAAAACACATCCCTGAATGTCACTGCATCATCTAGCGGAAGGATTATGTGTCTAGCGAGGTGTATAAGTGCTGCGTCCACCACTGGAGGCTCCTCCAAACTCTTAATACTCTCAGACTTGAAAGGATATAGCTTTGCGAACAGATTCTTAAAAGGGATTCTCTTATCTGCTTGGTTCCACTCATCAGTAATTATGTCCTGAATTTCTTGAATGGGAAATTCACCCCCTCCTTTTTCATGTTCGTGAAAAACGTCCTCTGTTTCTTCTGCGGTTCTTCCCCAGCATCTTCCCAAAACAGAGCCTGCCTAATCTCTTTTACAAAAGACTGCACCCAGGCAAAATCAAAACAGTCATACCCTCATCCTCATCTTTGGATACAGCGTCTGAGGCCAAAGGTTCCTGAGCCTCTGGAATCACCTAACTAGCTGGCGGCATCTGTGGAGACAAGGAGCGTGAGGTGGACGGAACTGAGGTGGCTGAAAGCTGTGACTGCAATGCAAATGCCTTTAGAGTCTCCTCAAATGCCTGCTTCATTAGCGATACCATCTCCACCTTATCCGGTTCTTGGCTGCTTCTTTGAAGCAAGTCTCACAAGCCATCTTGCCCGGCATGGCTCTTATAGGGCATGCCCAGCATCCACCTGGTCTGGGGCGGTCTTGATACAAATCTCTGCCATATCGTGATGGGAAACACTGACCCCTAGAGGCTGAACAGGAACTCGAGGCCTCTGTCCACAAGGCCTCCAGGTATGCAGGTGAAATACATATCTGGAAGAGAGAGAGGGAATAGCAGGCACAGGCAGGCTGCAGGAGCACACAGGAGCCAGATGCTTCAGCCAGAAGTATCTTTAAATTTTGGCTCCCTTAAGCTTGGCCCTGCCTCCCTCTCCTGATTGGCCGAGCGGTCCTGCACATGCTTAGAGCAGGGCCAACACACACTGACCGAGCGGAGCTGGTAAGAAGCCGGCAGACCAGCTCTATCCACCGCCATCATCCCCAGCAGCCGACATGGAAGGATTTTATCCCTGCCAGCAGCCACCAAGGAACCCCTACAGGTGTAACACCCCGTAGCCGGCAGTACTTTACCACGGCCTGATGCCTCCCCGAGGACCAGCGGGGCTCCCTGGTCAAACTGCTGTTAGCAAAGGAGTACAGGGGACCGAGTCCAACTTTGAGAGCGATTCTGGACGGACAGCCAGCCATTAGACCAGCTAGGAGGGGAGACGCCACCTGTCCTGATTGCAGGAGGAAGAAAAAGGAAAGCCTAGATGAGGTGGGTCAAAAAATGTATTGAGTTACGTCCTGATCAGGCAGGGGGAGGGCGGGGCCTCACCCAGCTGTGGTGACATGGAGCCGTCAGGAAACAGTAATTATGGTGTTACATTTTGCACAGTACTTTACAAGAGGGTTAGAGGGGCCCTGCTTATGAGCTTACAATCTAAAAGGCATCACAAATTAACTTCACAGTGTACAACTGAGAACAAAATAAGGCTAATATTAACCACTTGCCCTCCAGATTTACCCCCCTTCCTGACCAGGCCAATTTTTGCTTGCAACGCTGCACCCAAATGAAATTTACGTCCTTTTTTCCCATGAATAGAGCTCTTTCGGTGGTATTTGATTGCCTGTGCATTTTTAATTTTAATTTAAAAAAGCAACAATTTTGAAAAAAAATACAGAACAATTTTGAAAAAAAATACAGCAGAATACATTTTGGCCT